CCCCAAAACCCCAAAACCCCAAAACCCCTTATTGCTAAATATGAGAAAAATTAGGTAATTAAAAAAAATTAACAGAAAAATGTACTCAAACCGAAATAGCAGAGCACAATCGTTTTAAAAAGACAATATTGTTGCTGAATAAATGAGAAAAAGCGAATAGTTCGCATACAAAAAGTAACAGTAAGAATCTAGAAATACTAAGATACTCATTTTTGTGTCTTTGTTGGCATTCGCTGGCATCTTTGCTACATCTAGCCAAAATGGGGATTAGATTTAGGAACAACCTGCTTCCTAACAGTCAACTCACCTTAACCATCACCAGGAGGAATAACTCGGTAAATTCAGTCAAAAGAAAGATGGTTCGGGCAATCCTGATGAAAACCTTTTTTCTAGTGTCAATTATCAAACATCCTGCATTGCAATCAGTGTCCTTACAATGCTACTAGCTGTTAAAAGAGTGATTCAACAGAGAGAAGCTGATTTCAGAATTAATTATCATATTGAGTAGGTTACCAAGGACCAATTCGATGAGTAAAAGGACATCACAACAAAGGTTGAACTAGAGAGGCTCAAGAAATCAGATTAATATCAAAGAATGCAATAGCAAAAAGGCGCTAACAAAGAAAATTGGAACTGGTAAACTAAAGAAAAGACCTCAATCAAGCTAGGAGGATCCCCCAGAAAACATTTGAAATCCATTGATGATGATCAAAATAATGGTCTCGAGAGAGCGATTCTCGAAATAGATCATGAACTTAAGGAGGAGAAAGCCCTCTATGATATAACATCTACTTATCATAAGAAGAGCAGAGGCAGCAGTATTGGAAAGTCAGCCAAAACACAAGACACTGATGCCAAAATTTTGTATGAGCAAGAGAACTATTGAGAGCGAAAGAAGTTTCTGCTGACTTGAAAAATCGAACAAATAACTGATATTAAAGACTTTGATTTCACTTGATTTTAACGGCTAATAGCTAAGGCTTATATAAAACTAATTAAATTTCTTAGCTCTTACTTCCTGATAGCACCTTAAAATCCTTGTTGAAAACTTAGTTTATTATTTTCCTAAAATTTAACTTTAATTTTTTATCAACTTAAATTATAAATATAATGGAGAGAAGAATCTAATCTAAAAAACCATTTCAATCGAACGTTAAAAGAGAGAACACCAATGGCTCCTATTAAGTTGAGAGCTACGATTTTGAGGCAAACGAGGAAGATGAGGGAAACATAAATAATTTTTAGATATACCATGCGCTCTCAAAATAGATCACAGATGGAGGTCAAATTATGCCATAGTATAATTCTAGAGGAAGCGATGATAGGACCGAATCTCCTGCTAGCAATTAAGTTAATAAGGTTAGAGCAAGCGATACAAATCTGGCTTAAGTCTAGAGGCATTAGATTGATAATTAAGTGAAGAGACTCAGTTAGTAGCCTAATCCAATAATTCATGCATAAGAGTAACCTATAAGTATATCTCAGGCAGAGTATGAAGAAGATGAATAATTTTTTGATCAAAATATAGAGAGGCAGAAGAAAAGATCGCTTACAGATGACAAAAAATTCCTTAGTCAGCCGAATTCTAAAGATCCTCAGGACTAAAAGCAATAAAAAGATTTGATATCTTAGATCCAATCCAAGGGAGGCAATAGCACAGATTCAACATACACGAAAATAAATAAATCTAACCAAAATAACAATAAAAAAGTTAGAATATAGTCTAACCAGTATTCTGACTTCAATTCTGAAGACTATTAGGAGAAAACAGAGCCAATAACAATTGGATTGATGAACCCCTCTAAAGATTTTATGGTTCATGATTTTTATGATTAGGAATTCAAGCAACTAAAATTTAATCAGGATATAAAGCACTAAATCATCAGAAAGGACTCTGCTTCTAAATAGCAAAGAAACAAGGCTTAGAAACTAAATCAATCATAAAACTCAGGTAGCAAAGATGGCTCTTACTTGTAGTACTGGGTGAATAAAGGAATTAACTATAAATATAAACTTCCCTGGACTTCTCTAGCTAAGGTTTTCACTGAATTTCATCCAGTTAGTTTTGATCAAAAAGATTTACCTTTAACACTGCTTGATCAAAGCTGGGTACAATTGGAGCAAGCAGACCCGCGATAAAAAAAGAGAAGAGGCTCGGATGAGCTGAGATTAATAAAGATCGAATTTGAGAAAAAATTCAGTTAAATAGTTCTATGCACTTATAGAAAGGGTTTCAATCCACTTTTGTCAGAGAGTGAAAAATTAAGAAATATGGTAATGGCTCATGCTAAATTGGGTGAAAGCAAAATATTTACTAGCACTGATGTTGGCTGGGGATGCGCTATAAGGTAAATATGATTTACTTAAATTATAGAGTAGGACAAATGATGCTATGCTAGGCTCTAATGAGGCATTTAATTGGGTAAGACTAAAGCATTAAAAGAAGAGAGGATGATCCCATTATTAGAGAAAAGTTCCGATCTATAATTAGACTTATACTTGATAATGATGGGACTAAGCAAGCAGCCTTTTCAATATAAAATATTGCAAAGATGGGCTTCTGCCATGACAAATATCCTAGTGAATGGTACGGACATCATGCAATGTCAATTATGATGAGGGTAATGTAGTTAGTCCAATAATAAAATTTCTATAGGATCTAAATAAAATGTATTAGCCTGTACATGATTTCTAAATATGCATATACAGAGATGGAAATATTTATTATGACAAGCTAAAGAAGCTAGCTATTACTGATGGATAAAAATTCTAAATTCAGTCATTCTAGGCTAAGAGATATTAAGGCGAAGCAAGAGATACTAGATGTAGGCAAGATATAGTGTTTCATGAATTCTTGAATTAAACTGGATACTTTAGTGGAATCACCTTATCTCATAGCAAGCACCATAATATGAGTAAAGAGTTTGATAGCCCAAAGAGAGAATCATAAATATCTGATAATGATATGATGGAAAAAGAACAACTGAAGATAATAAGGAATGAGAAACTGTTGGAAAAAGCTTGGAGGAACGGAATACTGATTATTATTCCTACTAGACTTGGATTAAACAAAGTAAACAAAGAGTATTTCTATGCCATTCAATATATCCTGCAGTTCCCACTTAATGTGGGCATCCTAGGAGGGAGACCTTAGTAAGCACTATACTTTGTAGGATAGTAAAAATCAGAGCTAATATGTTTAGATCCACATTTCGTTTAGGATGCTCATGTTGGGCATCACCTAGATTAGAATGTAATGTAGACTTATCAATGCGACTAGGCAAAGAAGATATCTCTAACCAAAATAGATACTTCTCTTGCATTTGGTTTCTTTATTAAAGATTTCTAGGATTATCAATCGTTTGCGAATTTCATAGAGACAGGAAAGAAGGTCTATAAGGAGAACTGGGTCTTCTCGATATTCAAGGAGAAACCTAGCTTCGACAATTTTACTCCCTCAATGAACGATAATTTTTATCTACCTAAGACTACTCTTGGCTTTGAACAAATCTCAAACAGGATTTCAAAGCCACTCTAAAGTCCTTAGTCAAACAACTAATAAATATAGCAAAAGTAAGAGAAATAAGATTTCTTAACCATAAATGCCTTACCACTTAATAGAAATAGATCAACTAATGTTTAGGATATAAATCCCATTAAGATCTAGCCAGAAGGAGACGAAGAATTCGAGCTGATATGAAGGATAAAGAGTTTAAGTTAATAAAATGTCTTAATTGAGTCATTAATTATATCAATAATTTACTGCTATTCACTCTATTGGGGTTTTGGGGTTTTGGGGTTTTGGGGTTTTGGGG